GGCAAATATTTGGGATAGATTTAAGAAAATATGCAGAAACACCTGTTGATTAGTTTACAAATTAAATTTACTAAAAAAACCCGAAAACCAATCCAAGACAAAAATAGTTCTGACATAATAGTTTATAGCTGATCTTAATTCTTTTAAGGTGGAAGGCAATGATGGACTGACCAATCTATAGAAAACTACTGTGGACAAATAAAGTAGATAACTTTCAGAGAACACTCACTCATGGGAGTATCTGCAAACAATCACAGAGATCAAACAAATGTTTTCTTGAGAGGAAGGAGTAAGTTCAATTACAGCTAAATATGAAGAAACATCAGCACATAGAATGAGAATGTAAAGACATTGAAAGGGCTACAATTTGCATCTAGAAAGATCATTAGAGCAGCTGAACAAAAGTAGCAGTTGTGGTTTTGTATTCTTCAAGAAAAAAACCAGCATAGATATAAGCTTGAGAATACAGACTGTACCTGCGGAAAAAAAAAACACATCAAAACACTCTGAAAACCAGGTGATGCTAACACTAGAGAGCAAAGCAAACAAAAATTTAGAAGAAAAAAGTCCATAATCAAGTCCCCTTATCAGATCTTGATCCTTCTAGAATCAAACACAATTCTATCTTTGCCAGCGTAAAATTCAAATATACAGATCCAGCTATATTCTGCAGTTAGCATCTATGGCATGAAAGCTAAAACCTCTAATTAAAATTTCAAGGAGAACCTCATCCATGTAATAGAGTGGATGGTTGCATCTCTCAGCAAGAGGACAATCAAGTTTATCCCAGAGAAGATTTTTCACCCAGAAGGCTAGGCACTGTCAAAAAACCGAAAGCTTAAATGGTAAAAACATCCTGGAGAGAGAGAGGGAGAGAGAGAGAGAGTGTGTGTCCGTGTCTCTGTCTGTGTGTGTATAATAGTTCTCAAATGAGCCTTTTCATAAAATTCAATTTCAATGCACAGAACAGTGACTGTACGGAAGCCGCAGTACATACATCTATCAGAATAACCAGCAATACACCCTGCATATGCTCATAACCAGACAAAATATTCACAAATATGACAACTTCACTTTAATCATCTGGCAACCCAGCAATCATCCAACTTTTGTCCTTCCCTTCTTTCCTGACAGCTACGTTCAAGAGCTCTTTGTCTCCCGTTTTGATTATTGTAATTATGTCCTTCCTCACCTCCTTAGCAGCAAAATTTCTCTTCTCCTCAAACACACTACACAAACACAGCTACAAAGTTCAATTATTTTAGCTTTTTGGTCTAATTTGCACTGTCTTCCATGTGTCATAAAGGTGTGAAGCTTCCTGTTGGCAAGGCTACATTGTACTAACCATCTGGGAGTCCTCTTTCATCTAGACGGGTAGTACGTTGTTTAACCGTCCTCCTTATCTGCTCCACACTCGCTTCTCTTTGTCTAGACCACACCTGATCTTTAGTATTTAATCAAGGTTGTGAACTTCCAAAGACTGTATCTGCATGAAACAGCTCATCAGAATACTATTAAATGATAGTTCATAAGTTAGGAAATGAATCAGACTGATGGATGTTTGTAATTTATAAAGCCAAACTGTCTCAGCTGGTAAGGAGCAGGAGATGTCCCTTATCAGCCTGCAAACCACACAAACACCAGCATTTGTGCAACGGTGTTCTGGAAGACTGTAGCCCAGTGCAGAAACATGATTTTGCAAAACAATTCTGCATTTGTACCCACATTGCAACAAAGAGTTGGGCAGTGGAATAACATCTTTTGTTATTGTGACAGTGCTATCATGAAAAACACACAGCTCTATTTCCCCTGCTCGACTCCCAGTGATAAAGTAACTGAAGTCCACCATGTAATTACTATTTCTAAGTGTTTTCCAGACTTCAATAGTTTTGAGTTGTCATGGTAAGCTCATGCTATTTGCTTGTTCTTTTCTTTTAATGGAGGAGGTGGCTGCCAGGGTGTGTAGCATGAGTTTTCAGAGATACGATACGAACACCATTCACTCCGGCACTGTAAGTGCTTTGGCTCTAAATTCTGAGATGTTGAGATGAAGTCCCACAGCTTTTATGGTCAGACATTTCACACCTCTGTGCAGGCCAAGTAGGCATCTCTGCCAGAGCCTGTGACCAGAAACTAAGAAGGTGGAACACAGGAGTCAGTATTCCCCTTCCTTGGGCTTTTCAGGTTCTAGCCATTGTATCAACTCTGTGAGGACATGATGAGATGACAAAATATTCTTCGTCCATCTGGCGCCTCTACAGGAAGCAGATGGACTTGAGCCAAATATTTCATATGCATGCTGACATACGGTCTAATGCTCCAAGGCATGTTTGTACCATAGTAGCAGGATTAGATTTTATCTCGTGTAGAAGCAATCATAGTGACAGGACCCTGTCTTTGGGCAAGTGTTCTCTAGCCTAGGAACTGGTCACAGTCCCTATGAACTCCATTGTTTGTGATTGAAACTTTGGCTCTTTGTTTTAATACACTTCTTTAGGATAATCATCTGGATGAACAGCAAGCATATTCTAGGCTCATTGCCACTGCCTGTCTCTGATCAGCTGGTCATCTACCTAAGGACAGATGTGCATGCCCTGTCTCCTCAGGTGCACTGTTCCTGCAGAGAGAAGTCTTAATGCTGCAGTCTGCAATACCAGAGAGACTGTGCTTTGTTCCCGCTCCTGAAATGCTTCCTACTGGACAGGTAGATGACTCCATGGAAGTAGGCCACATTTAGTTCAAGAACCATAAAGGCTTGGCTGCAGACACAGAAAGATGGAAGAAAGCATCAACATCCTATATCTAATATGAAGTATGTTCAGCTACCTTAGATCTCCCAAAAAGACATAAAGCCTTGTTTTCTTCAGAATAAAGAATAGGAAGTGCAGACTTGCCTGTATTTTGATGAAGCTGCTTCATCCCCTCAGCACCCAGAATGGAGATCCATCCAATGAAAGGAGGTAGAGAGCACCTTCTTCATAATTGCCTAGTTATTACAGTGCTCGCTTTTACACTAAAGGTCTGGATTTAAGACGCTTCTGAGTTTGCACCTGAACCCACTGCTGCCATTTACACAGGACAGTCCCAAAAACCTGAAAAGCCTTGGCAGGGCTGCTCCCAATTCCTCCTTTGAAACTGGTCATAAAGAGATGCAACAGCAGTGGTGCCAGACAGAGTGAGAGCCTGCAAGTTTGAGTCTGATCTTGTTCATGACTCTTCTTTAGTTTCACTGAAAAAACACCACACTCTCAAGCAGCCTCTACACAGATTTCCATACTATAGTACCACAAATTGTCTTAAGTGGGTAAAGCACTCTCACCTCTATTTTGATAGAACTGCTAGATGTTTATTTACAATATAAATTAAAGTCCAACTAATTTGGGATCCACCCAGGCAGCGTGCCTAACAAATCAAGGTCATTAACAATGGCTTAAGAGGCACACAGCTTTGCTCTATGAATAAAGCAATATAAACTAGCTGTTTATTTTTTAAAAGCCTCAACATGCAAACACAAAACCTACAACCCTAAAGGGCCTCTAACCCTTTCAAGGCAAGATTGTACCACAGTACCTTGTTCTGTTCAGAACTGGATTACTCAGTTTTCATACAGTGGTCAAAAAGAAACCATGGTTGAAATGCTGGGGTTTGAACCCCAAGCCCCAAATTAAGGTTGACATATGGGTGATTCCCACAGCCCTTCATAAAGAGGTGGTGAGTTTGCCTTATAGCTTCCCCTCAGGGTGTGGCCAGCCCTGCAGGGAGAGACAGAAGGGAAATGAGCCCCAGGGGTCCCGCATTGAGTTGACAAAGGTCACGTGTCCCTGCTTGGGGATAAAAGTTGGGACCAGTTGCAGGGAGTCAGGAGTGTCTGTCTGTGGAGTGCACTCCACAGAGCTTCCTGGTTCAGGGAAGACCTCCTGACTCTCCCTGGAGCTGGGCCCCAGTCTGTTTAGACCTTTGTGAATGCGGGCGGATGGGGTGAGAGTCACTATGTGGGCACCTTTCTCTTATGTGCTTAGCCTGCTGGTCTGGCTGTTTCCCATGCCAACTGTGGGCAACCTCGGGTCTCTGTTTGGACCACCTGTTGTGGGCCGAGTCACATCTTTTGTGAGATCGTTGGGGGTGGCGCCCATTATGTACCAGCTGATTGATCTGTTTGTACCCCCAGCGATCATTCATGCAATATTCTTCTTGTATACAATACAGTCTGTGTATTGGTTCATCTTCCTGCTGGTGGTGGTATCATTTTTGTTGGGCCTGGTCATTGGCAGAACAATGGTCACTTTTAGGTTTTACTGCATATGTAATTACATTTAATCTTGCAAATACAGAGTAAAAGGACATTATTTAGCTATGCCAAGTCACTAACAACTCCATACATAAATTTTAAGTACAAGTTTATGAGCCTGTAAAATCTTAAGTTTTCATGTTGGATTTTTACTTTTGCAAATGAATCTGCTAATTCTGTCTTATGCTGTTTTTTAATAGCTATCTGAAGACAAGAGTTAGCAATTTTACTATCCAGTTATGTACTGGAATCCACTTCACTATGACAATGTGAACATTTTCCCAAACTGGTAGCAACTATTAATTCCAAATGGCATCAGGCTGCAGATTTCAAAATATGTGTTGGTACCACCTACTATCATATCCATAAAAGTGGTACTTATTTAAGGCTTACAAAGCCTCATTAGATAGTTCCTATTGAGTGAATCACTTTGACAATATCATGCATGGATGAAATTGAAATAAAAATTCGAAGTTCACTTCTGACCAGTTAGTTCTGAAGTAAATTTTGACATTACAAACTGCCTTGTAACAAGAATTTATTAACTTCTCTCAGTCCAAAAGGCTTAAAAATGCAATGCTGACACAATTTAATACCTCTTGGAATAAGATAGCATCTGTAATCCCTGTGGTACAAGGCTGTTTACATCTCCACAATTAGTAGATGCCTCCAAGCTACATAATATGAACGTTGCACTGGAGATGCACCTGCAACTAATGTACTTGAGAACAAGAGGGTTTTTTTGTTGTTTTTGCAATATCTGTACATGCTCTGCTGCTGCTGAAAGGGCCGTGCACCCCTCCTGCACTTTGGATTTCTTTCAGCCATGGAGTTCAAGGACACATGATCCACTGAAGAATATGGGATGGCATGATGTGGATATGCAAAAGGACTGAACGTTTGAGTATAAAGGACTTTCGTTTTGAGTCTGTTTTGAGTCCATGGGTCTGTTCCACTGCAGACCCTCCCAAAGCAGTAGCCACATGAAACAGACAGATCTAGAAGTCCCAAGAGAACAGAGGCTGAAGAATCTAAATTCTCAAAAACACTATTTAATCCTGACATAGTATTTGCATGGCTGGTTTCACTAGGAGGTCAATGGAGAACATTTCTACTTATGGGGGAGAAATGACATGGAGACTGAAAAGTAGAAGGGGATTGGCAGAAACAAGGAGACTGACATCAATATCCAGGTCCTCCTTTATGTAAGAAGAAATGAGGAAGGAATGCCCCAGCCTCTGCCTGTTTTCAGTGGAAGTTGTCAATTCTGCTTCATTTTCCTCTCCAGAGATAAGAGAAGCAGATTTTGTAACAATTTCAGCTTTGACATTTTGGTGCAGCATTTAAGTCAGCAAGATATTTAAACACCTGCTTTTTGAATAGAACTGTTTTGTCGATTCCCCAAAACTGACTTGAAATCTAAGAATCTCTTTTCTAACAAGAAAACTTTAAAGGAAGATATATAAAATTCAGGAAGGTGGCAGGATCCAAGAACAAAGTCTAAGTTCCCTACCTCTGCAGTAAATATCTGATTGGTTCAGACTACGTAATTGGTGTATTTGCAATTAGTGCAACATTAGTGATTTAACATTACTGCAAGGAAAGAGTCTACCTGGCTCATACCAGTAAGTATAAAACTATCCCCTTTCCACCTGGTCAAGGAATTCAGATGTGGAAATGCCAGATGGAGTATACTGTACAGAACCAGTCTTCTCCTAGATCAAATTAAACTTTATTCCTTTTCTTTATTTTATTTTTATATGTAGACACATTTTATTCTTGCTTCATGTTCCTATGGTGATTTGAAGCAAAGGCAGTAATCTGATTGAAAACACAACTTGTAATATTTCCTATGCCATGCTGAGAAAGATGAAAGCTCTTAAGTTCTTGAAGGCATCTCTCAAATATAATTAATAAATCTATTCTGACCAGGACAGCAAGATTTAATCTCCAAGTAGCAAAGGTCAGTTTACAGCAGGTGGAGAATGGAGATAAGGAGATAGTGCTTGTCAACTGCGAGAGGGAGTTCGTGAGAGAAAACAGCTGAAAACAAATAAGAAACCATAAAATATAAATCC